GTGAAATGCTGCAATGCTGAAGCAGAGAGAAGTTAAAATAGAAGAATCCAAATATAACTCAAAGGCAAGACGTAAAGGTATTATAACTGATTATTGTGTCTTCTTCTCTTAAGTTAATAAGTTGAATCATACATTTTTGAGAGCAAACAAAAGTAATCTTACCTTAAAATGTTCTGAACAGAAACAAATGTAGTTTAGTTGTAGATCAACATTGTGGATAGCATCTAAAAAAACAGGCACATAGAGCACTTTGAATTAATGAGGAGGTGTCTGGTCATAGAGAAATGTCTGACAGCAGAATTGCATCCTCAGAAAATAGCCACCACCCAATTTTAGCCAAACAGATGACGATCTCAAATGTTGCTTACTCCACCGTGGAATACTAATCATTCTCAAGGTGATGCTGACTGAGAGCCCAGGGCCAGCTCTGTGAACTGGTAGCTATGATTTTCATGCCATTGGAAATGTGCAAGTTCGCAGCAAGAATTATATCTGACCCCCCGCTGGGACTGGATACTGAACTGTTCATGCAATCAAGGGTATAGTCAGCACTCCAGGCATGAAAAAAACATCAAAACATACCCGTCTCATCCTTCTCTCATGATTTAATGCATGTGAATCCAGACAGCCTCAACAGCCCTCTCGACTGGAACGGTTGTTTAGAAATACAATCAAATTCAAATATTTTATAGCAAACAAAAGAGTGACAACAACAGCGCGTCTTCTCTTTAGATGCAACACTATCCTTCCTGCTCTGTAAATACACAACAGCAACCGATCTTGGATTCATCTAAGACTTGTCCTGGTTTTCAGGATCCACCAGGAAAGATAATGCTTCTGTCGATCTAAAAGCAGCCTAATGACTATGTCAGGGACGAACGACAATTGTTGCTTTAACAGCTTTCTTTGCTAGAAAAAGTCGCAGTACAGTGGCATCGTGGTCTACATAGCGCCCCATTCTTTGCTTTATTGGGGGGCGTGTGGTGCAGTGGGTTGTGAGTTGGTGTTCGGATCATCGGACCACAGGTTCAAACCCCACTGCAGTCAACATGTCGTTGTGTCCCTGGGCAAGACACTTCACCCCAAATTGCTCCTGTGATTGTCCACAGTATGTAAGTCGCTTTGGATAAAAGCGTCTAACAAGTGACATGTATTGTGGCCCTTTCTGCTACTAATATGTGTTTCATTGCACTTCAAAATGGATATAAAAATAGACATACGTTACTATTGACCTTGTGAGATATTTGTCAATATTTTTCGTGGTCCTCTTATCTCAGTTATATACAAGGGGAGGTTTAGCCTGTTTAGCCTTTCTATTTCTTCTTGCACAGTTTCTTTGTTGTTTATGTATTCTATTTGAATCGGTACACCCTTGTTTCCTCCCTTTAAGTAAAGAGATTGTGCCATTTGATCTCTTAGGTCATTTTTACCGGCTTTATGTCTTAATGCCAAATGAAAGCCAAAGATGTTGCAGTTGGTGTGCAGCTGGGGGTGTGTAAAGTAGCTCTCTCATTGTTATGTAAAAGAGAAATCTATGACTTTTTCATCATTTTCTGTGCTGTTGTTCCAAGCAGCACTTCTGATTTTAAATGTGATCTTTGAGGCTAGACACAAACCCAGAGACTTGACGATGATTTGCTCCCCCGCAGACATTAATACACACCTCAGTTAACATCCTGACCAGACACAGCATCAATTTCCCTCTTTTTGTTTTTCAGGAAATTACTGCGACGCTTCCTGGTGATTCTTTTCAATAATTGGCCCAACGTTTCGCTCTACAATTTCTCACAGTGCTGGTCAATCTCCCCTCAACTACTTTCCCATTATGCTTTATGAGGCGAACTTGCCTGACAGCACATCCCTTGTCCCATGAACACAGCTGGTGCTGTTTCTCAAGCTGGTGTAATTTTTTCATGCTGATTGGCTGAACCAGTCCATTTATTTTTCAATTTGCAGAATCTGCAGAAGAAACTTATCGAACCTTTGTAGCCTAATAAAGGGCGCCGCCTCGGGCAATGAAACAAGAGTTATAAAGCACAATTTTACATATAAGTATGGAAAGGAGCCACTTTTTTTCTAATGTGCTAAGTAGGCTACTGTCCGTCAGCCCTTGCCGTTACTGATGGCTTTGTTCAAATTTAAATTACAGCCTTAATGTGGGGTGTACTTCACAGCTGCATAGACAACAATCTCTTCCTTAAAGGTGGGGTAGGTCATTTTGGAGAAACCAGCTCGAGTGCACTAGAATTTGAAAATACACAGCCGGAACAAATCTGCCACTTCCTTACAGAGCCCCTCCTCCAACACACACGAACGCGCACATGACCAATGAGGGCACGAGATAAGTTTGTGCACAGATGGAAGGCTGACAGGCAGGTAGGCCATCCAGTTATTTTAGCCGGGCCGGCTAAAATGATTGGTCGTGCTTTTTACAGTACTACGGCTTCCACAGATGACATTTTTGTATGGATTTTTTGTCAAAGCATGGGATGTTAAGAGCATTCCATGGAATATAACAAAAAGTGTATCTCGAGCCGGTCTCAAACTTACCTACCCCACCTTTAATGTGGAGAAAACAAAGGAGACAGTTGTCGACTTCAGGAGAACCTCAACCCAACACCCCCGCCCCCTGATAATCAATGATGCCGCAGTGGAGCAGGTGAGCAGCACCAAATTATTGGGGGTGCAGATCACCGAGGACCTTTCCTGGAGCAATAACACCACGTCACTCGCCAAGAAAGCCCAGCAGCGCCTCTACTTCGTCCGCAAACTGAAGAAAGCAGGAGCTCCCACACCCATCATGCACAGCACCTTCTACCGAGGCGCCATCGAGAGCATCCTCAGCAGCTGCATCACCTTGTGGTTCGGAAGCTGCACAGCATCCAACCGCAAGACACTGCAGTGCATCGTGAACACTGCTGAGGATCATCGGTGCCTCACTCCCATCACTCCTGGACATGTATAACACCCGCCTCAACCGCAAAGCACTCAGCATTGTGGGTGACCCCTTCCATCCCTCCAACTGCCTCTTCACCCTTCTGCATTCAGGGAGAAGGTTCCGCAGCCTGAGGTCGAGCACCACCCGACTGAAAAACAGCTTCGTCCACCAGGCGAGAGGCTGAACTCTCTCCCCCCCCCCTCCCACCTCTTCCCTCTCTCCCTTCTCTCCCCTCTATCTCACCTCTCCACCATGCCCCCACTGGGCCGGGTCTTTAACACCCCCCCACACACACAGACACAAAAAATCCAGCACCAGTCACAGTCACTTTTACGCTGCTATGGACAATGTTGCACTCCCTTTTGCACTATATCATCTTTTTTTTTAATATATCCTGCTTACTTGAAGTAACGGTTATTTTGTGTTTTTTTTGTAAATGATTGAGTGTTCTTGCATTTTAATGTGTGAGTTTTTTATACCTCGGGACTGTGGGAAACAGTATTTCGATCTTTCTGTGTGTACAAACATATTTTGAGATTGACAATAAAGTTGACTTTGATAATAACTTAGAGAGGATGAAAAGGTTTGGTTTGCCACCTGAAATGTCTGCGGTGCTTAGAAAGCAGGATGTGCAGATGTATTAAACATCACAGATTTAAAAAGCTTAGAACATTAAACCCTGCATACTCATGTCTTTGTAATTTGTTCAAAAACTTAAAGGGAGGGAATATTTACAGAGAAGGGAATAACAGCAAAACAAGATTACAGGGGAATACATGAGTGATATTTGTTCAAGTCTGTCTCCCTGTTGTTTAAAAAAGTTTCTACCCTTGTTCTGAAGTCTTCCTGGGGGCTTTGCCATTTGGAAATATGACATCAGCTTCAACAGGTGGCACAGGATGTTTCTGTGGATTCCAGCTGAGACAACAAAAACTGAGGAAAGCTGGAATTGATTTCCCCTTTGATGCAGCACATCATGTGGTAGAGGAAGCATGAAACTACAATTCTGGACAGAGAAACAATACACACATAGTCATTCTAACAAGTATGATGCAGAGAAAATCAAATATGAGAAAGATAATTATTAGTCAGATATTCTTTTTTTTATTGACTTGTAGGCATTTATGATGAAGTTCTGCAAATCTTTCAAAAAAAGTCCACTTTGTAATGTTTCGTGGTGCAACATTGTACATTATTATTATGATTACTATTATTATTGATATTATTATTATAAGAAGTAGCAGCCTTATTTTCAGGTCGCTCCTTGCAAGAAGTTTCATTTCCGTGGAGTGTTTACATCACGGAAATGAATAGGCTCCTGACCTTGTTTTTCTCCTTCAAAAACTTGAAAGAAATGTTGGATTTGTGAAAAGCTAATACTCTAAACAAAGAAAGCACGAGATAGCTTTATCCTGTAATCTATAGTCAGAGCAGTAGCCTATACTCATTCAGAGAGCTTTCTCGTTTGCAACAGCCTCCATACTGTTAGATGCTATGTTCTAACCTTGAACCTTCTCATCAGATGTGTAAAGTGAACTACATACAAAACACAGGAGTGTTTGTGTTGGAACCACAGTTGTGATTCAACACATGCATGCGTCCTCTGTAGATCTTTGAATATTTTACGCGCACCATTGTTTCCGAGTATCCAAAGCCCCCTTTAACGAGGAAGCTGCACGGAACAAACGTGATTGTGTAGAAGGTGCCGGTGAAATGTCACGTTACATTCTCATTGTCTCCTGAGTCCTGACGGGCGTGCTGGGAGACTGTGATGTGTCTTCTTCTATCAGAGTATGAATTTTCTCTGGTCCAATAATCTGGCTGGTGAGGAAATGAGCGTCAACCGCGCGACTGAGCTCTGCGCGTTCACATGGAACCTATACACGGACGTGGCGCGCAGAGCTGTGAATAGTCTGAAGAGAGGAGGAGAGGATAAACGTGGCAGAGGATAACATCTTTAGCGCACTGGAGGATAATCCACAGATACTTCAGGAATGCTCAAAATGACACAAACTTTTTTTGTATCTCTCTTTTCAAACAAAGCTGTCCAACTCTGATTTCCATGGTAATTTGTGAGCAGGAAAATCCAACCATGCAGCTGAATGAGACTGGAGGTCAAGCACTGGCTCCAGAGCCATATGAGATGCAGATACTACAGGAGGAAAGCTTTGGAAACTGCAGCGGAAGCTCCACCATCAACATGTCTCTGCACTGCTGGCTGCAGCTCCTCTCTAAGGAATCTATCATGGAGTTTCAAGGAGACAGCTCCAGTCTGGTGGTGCGTATGTTGATAGCTTGTGTCTACTCCATAGTTTGTGCACTGGGGCTGGTAGGAAACTCACTGGCGTTGTATCTGCTGCACTCACGTTACAGGGAGAAACAATCATCAATCAACTGCTTTGTGATGGGACTGGCTATCACAGACCTGCAGTTTGTGCTGACGTTGCCGTTCTGGGCTGTGGACACAGCATTGGACTTTCGCTGGCCATTTGGCCGTGTGATGTGCAAAATCATCAGCTCTGTCACCACCATGAACATGTACGCCAGTGTATACTTCCTCACAGCTATGAGCGTGGCACGTTATTACTCCATCTCCACCGCGATGAAGATGCACAGCCGGCGTGCGGCAGCCACCAGAGCAAAGTGGACGAGCCTGGGCATCTGGACTGTGTCTCTGCTGGCAACTCTGCCTCATGCCATCTACTCCACCAGCTTCCAAGTTTCTGATGAGGAGCTTTGCCTGGTGCGCTTTCCAGACTCAGGCAGCTGGGATCCACAGATTCTTTTGGGTCTCTACCAGCTGCAGAAGGTCCTGCTGGGCTTCCTTATCCCTCTGATCATTATTACTGTCTGCTACCTGCTGCTGGTGCGCTTCATCCTCAGCCAGCGCATCGCAGGAGCCGGGGGCCCAGAGGTGGAGCAGGGCCGTCAGAGGCGTCGCTCTAAAGTGACCAAATCCATTGTGATCGTAGTTCTGTCCTTCTTTCTGTGCTGGCTTCCTAACCAGGCGCTGACTCTGTGGGGAGTGCTCATAAAGTTTGACCTTGTGCCCTTCAGCAAGGCTTTCTACAACGCGCAGGCCTATGCCTTCCCCCTGACTGTGTGTCTGGCACACACCAACAGCTGCCTGAACCCCGTGCTCTACTGCTTGATCCGCAGAGAGTTTCGTGCAGCTCTGAAGGAATTTCTCCTCCGCGCCACGCCGTCCTTCAGGAGCCTGACTCATCTGCTGCGTCGCAAAGCCAAAGTGGCTGAGGCGCCGCCTGTTCTGGTGCTGGTCCAAATGGATGTCTGATAGGCTTACTGTGACAGAAGAGTGAATGACTGGCCCACAAAGCAAATAAGTGAAAGCTGTCTATTGTACAATTGATCTGGAGTTGTTTACTATGACATTGCATCCATCTCAACCCCGTCAGCGATGACTCCCCAATGGGATGTGCCCCATTTTTGCTGCTTGTTCCAAGATTGACTTGACTCTTTAACGATCTCACTCTCACCCTCCCTGCCTCTGAATGGCATTACTTGTGCTGCTCTCTTGTAATTTGTCATGCGTATAGATGTCAATCATAAATTACTTTTATATCATGGCTCACTAGTGACAGTTGCAATTAGCCAGTTAAAACTATTTGGCTTCAGTGGCAAACACTTTGATTATATAAAACATAGGTACAGCAAACTTGCACTCCAATACAAAATATATTATCTTTTTCAATATTTGTTGCATTTGTGATTTTTTCAATATTGCTGTCACAGTGATAACCATGACACGGCTGCTTGTGCATTGGTGCGTTTAACTGCTTGAATACAGGACACTAGAGGGTTGCTAGAGACGATTGCCAATCAAATTAAGTTGTTTGACTCGACATCACAAACAAATGTGCAAATTGATTAAACTCACAACAACCAGATGAACCTGACATATAACTGCATTGTATCTTAATTCCCCCAAAATATAACGTGAATGACAACCAAAACTATATTTTCAGTACTTTCAAAAGGTTTTGTCTCGATAAACCACAGCTTTGACTCCCACAATGCATGAGATAACTTCCCTGACTAAACTCTCTGACTGTGCATTGATGATTTAAGTGGAGGTAACGACATATCTCAAAATGTTTTAGTAAAGAAACGTGAATGTAATATGAGTATTGAGGAGGTTTCCCAGTGCATTGTCCAGTTGCTGTGTTTTTTCTATTTTTCATCTGTGCTCATTGTGTCATACAGTAAAAGCAAACTGGGGGAAACTAAACCTAACCAAATAAGATTAAAACAAATAACAGATTATTTGCTATATAAAAAACAACAATATGGTCATTGATAAGCCTTTTATACTATTTGAAACGTGAGAAAATGACAAGGTTAAGCAATGTATAACATCTGTGCTGCTTATTAGGTAATACACAATAGACGATATATTTGTTAGCTGCATTGTCTTAGGGGGGAAAAGTAACGTCTGACATTTCCTGTTGTTTTTCAGACAACATATAATACAGTCAAATGTAAATCAATGTTGTCCTTGAGTCCTTGAAAATTAAGAGTGCTTGAAAAAAAGTGCTTCAAATCACGCATGAGCTGAGCACATGTACTGTATTGTATGCACTCAAATAGAAATATTAATGCTCACTGTTTCTCACACACACACACACACACACACACACATACACACACACACACACACACACACACACACACACACACACACACACACACACACACACACACACACACACACACGACACACACAAGCAACATTTATGGGTGCAGTATTTTCTTAGCTCTTTATGTGTCAGATGAATAACATGCTGAATAATTCAGAACATACGTCAGATTTGCAGATGCATGTATCTGCGCAGCATATTAATTTATTCACCATTCACCAAGAACAGTCCACCCGCCTTTCTTCCTCTGTTAAATTACATGGTTGTTGAAAGAGCACAATAACAATTAAAACCTACGTAATAATGTAATCTGTGAATGTATTGTCTCTTAGTATTCTCTCATGGCTGTGAACATAATCCTGATCTTTTATTGAAGACATTTGTTGATTTGATGTTTCAATGCAATGTTCCAATTAAATGCATCTTTAATTAAAAGTCCCCCAGCTTACACTTTTTTGAAATATTTGGGCAATTTAGAATTCAGACAATATACCCAAGGCAGCCTTGTTTGAAGAAAACAAACCCAGGATAAATGTTTTAATAGACAATGACTTAGGTTTGATGTGGCGTAATTAGGATGTTTATTTTATTCTGTGTTTGCACTGCATTTCTTCAATAATTAAAAACATCGCCACTGCAGAGCACAACTAATCTATGAACAAAGTGGCTGAGAAATTAGCTGTGAACAAGAATTGCTGTCAGAGGGAATGGCTTTTCTCAATCCAATCTTGAATTTAAATTTCCCTTTTAATCAGAGCACCCTGAGAGAAAAACAACTCGCTGTTGTTTTATGATTAAAGTTTTAGATGATAGGAGCAGTGAGGGTCCTGTATAAGCATCTAATATACATTCTCAGATCAATGTTGTACACTAGACTGTGTCAGATTTATAGTATTCATAATTAAAAACGATATTGTGCGTTAGAAGCACCGGTTGATTTCTGTGGCGGAAGAGAAAATATATTTAATATGCCGGTCAGTTGTTTGTGCAGCAATTGAAGTTAACCTCATACACAATGCACAAAGAGATGGAGGATCATGGTCAACAACAGCCCACAGCTCCGGCTCCCTGGTGGGTTAATCCGGCCATGCTATGGGACACAATTATTTTTAGGAAATAACAGAAACAGTGACCTGTGCAACTTTTACTCTGGTCAGTGAGTCAAGGATGTACAGTTGAACGAGTACTTGTGGATCCATAAATGCCTGGAGACAGAGTCAAGCTGTATTCATTGTCCATTGTTTCTGAATCTCAGGGGGCTTCAATATGCACAGCATTCTAAAATAACAGTCTTTACTGGGAATATAAGTCATTGAAAAAGAACTGTTCCTTAAACAGTGCTGATGAAATAGGGGATGAAAAAGCACATGCAGTAGAATCGGGCATGAGTAGATTTTTAAAAACCTGTACGCTTCACATTATTGCTGATTCTCCATGATAAAAACAGGGGGTTTATATTTGTCGTGGCTTCCTTCCTTGTTTATCTATCAAGCCACTAGACGCCTTAAACAGACATGTTTTAACTTGTTTTCTTCCTTTATATTACTTACAGTTTGAAGATTTGCTTGGTCTCCGATGGTTTGGATGGTATTATGCGATGTTTGCTCAAAATAAAAAATAAAACTTTTACACATGCAACAAGGAAAAGAGGCCTTCACAATATTCAAAACAAAGAGGCAAAACTAAAAATAAAATAACAAACAACTTAGGTATTCTTTCTTTCTTGATAATGCGTATACAACTTAATAACTTAAAGGATAATTGTACGGTTAAAAACTGTTCCTCGGCGGCGTCTTTCAAGCAGGTTGCCCATCACTGTCACTTTAGCGCAGGCGCCGTGGGAATTGTAGTCTTTTATAGTGTGTTGACTACAGACGTCACAATTAGGTGGCCTTTCTTATAAAACAAAATACTGGCTCTAACAATATTCATGCATCTGTCCAATCTCTTTTCATTCTTTCTGTGGATGACCGTTTTTGTAATTACCCACAACGGAGAGCTGTAGCTTCAAAGTGTGCGTCCTGTAAACCCTGCTGGGCGATCCACAGAATACAGCACAGGGTTAGCCTCTTTCCAATAACAGCTGGCAGGCTGTCTGGTCAAAAGCCACAATGAATACTCAGCATGCAAAGCTTATCAAATTGTACTGAGCAAGTGCCATGTAGAGAAAAACTGTTTAGCATTGTTGTGCTGTTCTTAAAAATGTTTGCTTTCACACCTGCATGTATGAATGTAAGAGAATATATTTACACTGATGTACGTCTTACAGGATCAATAACAGAGGAAATAATAGCTCTACATTTAAATGGATATTTTGGTAAAGTCAATCCCTGATAGTAAATAGGGCTTTAAACCCTATTCAACAATAAACAAGAAGAGATACCTGGAGGGCAGGACATGGAGAACTGGCTGAGGGACAATGAGCCATATGTCATCACACTACTGGCAGGTTAATCTGTTATGTTACACTGTGCTTTGGCCGTAATTTAAAGGACCGATTCATTTCATTGCACCCTCCCAGAATAGACTCACATCTGAGTTCATATTAAACACAGAATGGTCACGTGTCTTCTTCTCAATTTCTCTCTTGTGGGACCACATTTTCAATTAGAACCAAATGTTGAATATGCCCTCCTGTCACGGGAGTTCATGGATTTTTTTAAGTAAGCTATTAGACAGGCTCCTAAATACCATTCATGTCGGTGTGTTTGATCAATACTCATCTAAGTTCCCCCAGGACAGGAAGCGATGGAATGGCGCATTTCCATTGCAGCGCGTAGCTCGCTTTAAGCGTGCCGTGTCGTGCCGTCCCCTTTTTTGGTTGTGCTTCCACTAGGCCTCGTTCCGGCGCGGCACGGCGCGGGGCCACTTTTTCCCCTCTTTTCTGGCCCTAGAAAATTGTGGTTCTATCGGGGCCAACAAACAGGGCTGAGTCGGGCTGAGTATGCTAAACTAGAGAGAGGAGCGCTGGCAAGAGGGCTAGAACTACAACAAGATGGACATATTTGACCGTGATTTAATTGTAATACACGTTTCAAAATGATGCCGAAGTAACAACATACTGATACCGGTTAGTAAAAACCATGAATTAATGCTTTGTCAAGTTTGCAGACAGACGGCAGGCGAAAAACCTTTTAAAATTCGTGTTTTTCTAGATGGAGATTGGCTAAGCTAACGCAGTATATGCCCCGACCGTCCACACTCACAACAACGGCCTATACAGACATAAATAAAGCAGCGACTGTATTCACCATGACACAGGCAGTCTGTGGTGTGTACTTGTTTCACTTTTGTCGAGTTTCTGAACATATATAAGGAGCTGTGAGCTCTGAGTGCTCACAGCTAACGGCTGTGTTGTGTTTCTGGATTTCTCATTGAAGATGACGTCACGGCTCCGCCTACACTGCGTTACTATAGTAACTACCCCAGTTCCTAAACTGTAATGGAAGCGCAGCATGAAGTGAGTCGGCCCTGTTAAGGCCCAACGCGGCCAAGCCGTACCGAGCCGTACCGAGTGTGGCCGAGGCCGACCGTGTAGTGGAAATGCGCCATTAGAAGGTTGTGTGACACCCTTGGTGCTGATCTTTCTCCAAGGCCTAATGATTGCCCAACGACACTTGGGTGTCCAGAATAGTAT